GGATCCCTGGAGAACTCATTTTTTTTTTCCTTTTTGTCTTTTTTACTGACCGGTAACGGGATCGCAACCCTCGGTGTTGCGCCCACACCGCGCTCAGCCAGTGAGCAGGAACCGGTCTCCACATGGGATCCGAACCCTCAGCGGGAGCACCGCCACACTCCCAAGTGGCGCACTCTCCAGTGCGCCACCAGGCCTGCCCAGAGAACTCATTTTTTAATTTTTAATATATTTTTTTCATTGTACATGTTTGTGGGGTACAGTTTGTTGTTTCAATATATGTGTATATTGTATAATGATGTAACCTGAAGAGTTAGCACATCTGTCTCCTAAACATTTATCATTTCTTTGTGGTTATAACATTCAAGATCCTCTTTTCTGACTATCTTGAAATATACAATACAATATTATTAGCTATTGTCACCCTAGGGCACCAGAACTTATTCTCTGTAACTGTACCTTTGTGACTTTGTCCCGGTCTACCAACCTTTCCCAGGCCCCCTGCCCCCTCCCTTTCCCTGCCTTTGATAACCACTATTCTACTCTCTATTTCTCTCTTTTTTTTCTCTCTTTTTAATTTATTTTTCTTAATTGGCCCATGATAATTGTATATACTTATGAATTCCAATATGGCATTTGGGTACATTCATAGTGTGTGCAGTGATCGTATCAGGGTGCTTAGTCTGTCCATCACCTCAACCATTTGTCACTTCTTTGTGTTAGGAACATTCAACATCATCTGGACTAGCTGTTCAAAAATACACAGCACTTTGCTGTTAACTGTGGTCTCCCTATGTTACTATAGAATCCCAGACCCATTCTCCCTCTCTCTGATATTTTGTGATCAGTGACTGCTTTCTCCCTATCCCCTCTCCCCTTCCCCCACCAGTCTCTAGTAACCACTATTCCCTGGAGAACTCTTAAGTATTGCTTGTCATATCATATAACGTATACAAATATCTACAGCGGCAGCTGCACAGGCAGAGTTCGTGTTCCCTGCCCCTTAGTAGAACTCTCTCTGCCCCTGCTCACTCACTACCTGCAAATTGAATGGAAATAGAATTTCTGTCAAAAAGTGGATCTCAGGGTGGATCATCCTCTGAGACACTGCAGAGCAGTGTCTGACCCACAGTAAATGGTGAAAGAATGCTGGCCATCATACCATAATGACCTCGATTTCTTCTTGTCTCAAAAGAGCTTCTCCAGCACCCAGGCTCATAGCAGCATTATTCGTGACAGCCAAGAAGTGGAAGTGGCCCAGTGTCCACTGATGAACGAACTGAAAGAGAAAATGTGGTAGATGCATACAATGGAATTTTATTCAGCCTTAAAAAAAAAAAAAAAAAGAAATCCTATCGTATGTGACAGCATGATGAACCTTGAGGACATCACACTGAGTGAAATAAGCCAGTCACAAAAGAATGAATGTCACATTATTCCACTAATGTGAGGTACTAGAGTAATCAAAATCATGGAAACAGAAAGTAGAAGGGGGGCTGCCAGGAGCTGGGGAGCTGTTGTGCTGTGGGTATAAAGTTTCAGTTTTGCAAGATAAAAAGTTCTAGAGATGTCACGCAGCCATGTGAATATAGTAAAGGGAAACAGAAAGTAGAAGGGGGCTGCCAGGAGCTGGGGAGCTGTTGTGCTGTGGGTATAGAGTTTCAGTTTTGCAAGATAAAAAGTTCTAGAGATGTCACGCAGCCATGTGAATATAGTAAACACTACTGAACTGTACACTTAAAATGGTTTAGAGGCTAAGTTTTATGTTATGTTTCTCAACACCATATGAAATTGTTTAGAAATTTAAAAAGAATAAAAGGGCTTCTCTGCGTGGGACGGGATGAGGTCAAGCTGTCACTCTCACGCCTGAGACCTTTGGATGTCCTCTTCGTAGGAACAGACATCAGACTACGTCTGCGGTCTGGGTTGTATTCTTACGATCAGATATTGCAGCAATAAAAGGGGCAGGAGACATGTGGATCTGTTTTCTACATAAATCAGCTGAATTTATGACTGTTTCATCATAGCTGTGATCTGAGTCCCAACACATCCCCCAAAGTGATTTAATTAACTGACATTGTTCCTTTGCCAAAAGAATTACAGAAAAACATAACTGCAGGTCTATTTTAAAAGAAGTATACATCACGCATTTTTCTTAGAAATTTAATTTGTTCCTAGTTTGAACCAGTGATGCCAACATAATTTTAAAAAGGTGTGTGACTTGGTATGGGTCCCTGGGGAGGACAGAATCTGCTTGTTTAATCTATGAACGATGTTGGTGCTTCCTGTGATTTTAAATGTTGTTGTCATTAAGAAACTTGAGAGAATACATAAAATAGCAATGCATTTGTCTTTCTTTCTCTCTCCTCCTAGCAATGCAGCAAAAAAGCCTCTGCCTCCCTCATGTGGCTTTTGAAGTCCTCAGGCATCATCGCCAACCGGCCCTGGCCACGGATCTCCCTCACGGTCATCACCACAGCCATCATATTAACCATGGCCGTGTTCAACATGGTAAGCCCCGGGGCTGAGGCAGGGCTCAGGCAGGTTCTTCCTTTCCATGGCCTGTCCTGGTGGAATTTTGGAAACCTGAGCATAGCTCCCTTGGCAACACCAATTGCTACCTGTTAAATCCAGCATCTAACAGCTCCAGCAGGAGCTTCTCTAAGAAGAAAGATGCGTTTGTGGAAGCTCCCTTGAGAGAGAGGGTGGCTCCTTAGAACAGTTTCCCACTTCCTTGCTCGTGGTGGCCCCTTGTCAGGCTGCAGAAATGACATGGAATGTCGGCAGGGTAGTCGTGAGGGATCTTGGAACCATAAGACTGTAGAGAGTGCAGAGATTGAGGCGTCCTGCCCTGAAGTTTAAAAGGCCTGCTTTTAGACCCCAGCTCCCCACCTTGCCAGCTATGTGATTTGGGAGCTGTTCTCTCATTAAACATCCTCAGCCTCCATTTGCACTTCTCAAAAGTGAGATCCAACACTTCTCTGCCAAGCAGTTCTAAGGATTAAATAAGCCGATGTTCCTACCACACTTAGGGCAGTACTGGGCATTTTGTAAATATTCAACCAATGGCCACTCTTACTATATCAATATAATTGTTGCTCATCTTTCCCTCCATATAGACACTTAGGTCATCAATGTACCTTGAAACACATCCTCATTATTCTCACATCATCGTCACCCCCGTAAGGTGCTACGACGCTTCATGTGTCCGAGGCTTCGCTAATTATTGGAAATGCAGAGGATTATAATATACTGTCTTTGCTTTCTAGAAACATAAAATCAGGTACCATGGCAGCCCACATATAATTTAATAATAATGATGTAGTTTTCATAAGGTACAAAGCATTCATTCAGCAAAAAATAAATGTTTGTTGAACATAAATATGTGCCTGGTACATGGCTAAATGCTCAGAACCCAGCAGCATTGCTCTGCCTCTTGGAGTCCGCGGTGGATCATGGAGACAGACAGCCAGCAAACTGTTACCAGACATGCCAGAGGCCGCGGAAGCCTGCAGAGAGGGGCGAGGAGGGGGGCTGCTAGAGGGAGCTCTGAGCAGCAGGAGAAGGCGCCCCCAGAGGGACCAGAGTGAGGGGAGAGGGGGTGGACGGAAGACGAAAAGGGGACGACGTGAAGATCTGGGACCAGAGCAAAGTTTATTTTAAGTAGTGGTGAAAAATAAGGCTGAAGCAGTGCATAAGGACCTGGAAGGCTTGCGCCGGATCAACTCTCAGCATCATAGTCGGCGTCGTCCATCTCCTCCCCAGATGCCTGGAGACTCTGGTAAGGGGACACCAGCTGCAGACCAGAGAGGCTGTAGCATCAGCGGCAGGGGTGGCATGGCCTCTCTGTCTGCTTTGTCCTGCCTCAAAATCGGTCTTGGGGACATCTGCAAAGGGGGTGTTGGAGAGATTCTGCAGTCTGTCCTCCTACCTCCCACTCCCTATCCCATCCAGAAGTGGGTGTGTGGGATTGTTGGGGGTCCTGGAGGCCAGGCATGCTGGCCATCCCGCCCCCCCACCTGCCAGCATGACCCAGCTCCCTCTCGGAGCTACCCCGAGAAAGGACACGAAGTCAGGCCCTCGTGCAAGCCTCCCCAGGCATGGGGTCACTGGAAGGGGCCACCACAACTACCTCCTTCTCCACCGACCTGCCCAGCATCAAAGGGCAGCTCATGAAAGGGGCTTGAGGTACCCTGTAAGCAGTCAGAATTGCTTAGCAGCCAAGTCCATGCAGGCCAGCAGGCGTCCCTCGCTTTCAGCTGACCTTTGGTCTTGCAATCCTACATGGAGTTGTCTCCGTGTGTAACATTCAGCCCTGGAACCTCATCCTCCTCCTGGCCTCCTGTCGTTATTCTATAAAAGTAGCAAGCGACACTAAGCTGATCTCTCCTTCCTCCTGGGCATTCGCAGCACCTGCCTCATGTAGGTCTCAGACATGCCTGGACCATGATATCATTCATTTCTAACCAGGGCTTTATGCACACCGAGTGGGGAACAGCTGGAAAATGGTGCCATGCTGTGGCAAAAAGTAATTCCCCAAAGAACTACCTGGCTCTAGAAGGATTTTGAAGTGCCAGGGCTCAAGGAGAGCCCTACATCCACCATCCTGAGGCACATGCCCACAAGGGGACGGACTGGCCAGATGGCAGCTTTCTGCATGAAGAACCAGGGGGCTTCTTGCTGTGGTCCTAGAGCTGTCCTCAGTGGGGGAAGGGGGAAGCCTCAGGATGGGGAACAGGACATGAGAGACATAAGACAGGGATGGAAGGGACTTTCCTGAAAGAGCCCGTCTGCAAATATGTCACTAGCCACGAGAATGCCTAACATCTCTGCACAGGCAACGTTATGGATTCTGCAGCATTATCAGGATGTCCCGGCGGAGGGAGGTGGACAGAGAAGCAGGCAAGGGACACTGGCTGGAGACCTTAGAAATATGAGTATGTTTCCCAAAGGGATTCCTCCTATTCAACTTTGTCACCTGCATTTGTGCATTAGTCCGGTTGCTCCAAGACCCAGCTCCCAGAAGAGCACAACAACAGCAGGCTCGAGGCAGAGTTTGGTAGATTACAGCACAGGAGGCTGCCTGCCTGCCGGGTCACAAGTAAACTCCGTCGTGAGGGGCAGAGAAACAGCACACTCGAAGGACAACAGGGTGCACTTACAGCAGGCTCGAGGCAGAGTTTGGTAGATTACAGCACAGGAGGCTGCCTGCCTGCCGGGTCGCAAGTAAACTCCGTCGTGAGGGGCAGAGAAACAGCACACTCGAAGGACAACAGGGTGCACTTGCCAGAGTTCTACGGTGTTCCCTCTGCCGCAGAGCTGTGTGTGTTCAGTCAGCCTAACGAGGGGACGGCTGCCACCGTGCCCCTATAACGAAGCCTCCCAGCCCTCGTGAGTGCATGCACGAGTGCGTGCACAGAGCATCAAACACACTTCCTGAGAGTTGACCTTCACTGGAAAATAGCAGCACATAAGAGTTAGAGGAACAAGACCCTTAACATGTCATCCACACACTGAAGAGTGAGGTCTTTTTTTTTCTTTATAGTATAAATGTGAGGTGTAGAACGTGATGTTCTGATACACATACACACAGTGAAATGATTATGCAATTGAACATGTCCATCACCTTCTACAGTCACCTTTGTCTGTGTGTGGTAAGAGCCCCCAAATCTACTCTCTTAGCAAATTTTCAGTGTACTGTTCAATATTATCAGCTGTAGTACTGCTGCAGTACATGAGAAATCTAGGATTATTCATGCTATGTGACTGAACATCATACCTTTGTCCTATAGCTCCCCTTTTTCCCGCCTCCCCACCCCGGTAACCACAGTTCTACTCTCTGTTTCTATGTGTTCAATGTTTTTAGATTCCACTTGCGAGTGAGATCATGTGATATTGGCAAAGTTTATTTTAAGTAGTGGTGAAAAATAAGGCTGAAGCAGTGCATAAGGACCTGGAAGGCTTGCGCCGGATCAACTCTCAGCATCATAGTCGGCGTCGTCCATCTCCTCCCCAGATGCCTGGAGACTCTGGTAAGGGGACACCAGCTGCAGACCAGAGAGGCTGTAGCATCAGCGGCAGGGGTGGCATGGCCTCTCTGTCTGCTTTGTCCTGCCTCAAAATCGGTCTTGGGGACATCTGCAAAGGGGGTGTTGGAGAGATTCTGCAGTCTGTCCTCCTACCTCCCACTCCCTATCCCATCCAGAAGTGGGTGTGTGGGATTGTTGGGGGTCCTGGAGGCCAGGCATGCTGGCCATCCCGCCCCCCCACCTGCCAGCATGACCCAGCTCCCTCTCGGAGCTACCCCGAGAAAGGACACGAAGTCAGGCCCTCGTGCAAGCCTCCCCAGGCATGGGGTCACTGGAAGGGGCCACCACAACTACCTCCTTCTCCACCGACCTGCCCAGCATCAAAGGGCAGCTCATGAAAGGGGCTTGAGGTACCCTGTAAGCAGTCAGAATTGCTTAGCAGCCAAGTCCATGCAGGCCAGCAGGCGTCCCTCGCTTTCAGCTGACCTTTGGTCTTGCAATCCTACATGGAGTTGTCTCCGTGTGTAACATTCAGCCCTGGAACCTCATCCTCCTCCTGGCCTCCTGTCGTTATTCTATAAAAGTAGCAAGCGACACTAAGCTGATCTCTCCTTCCTCCTGGGCATTCGCAGCACCTGCCTCATGTAGGTCTCAGACTCGTATAACTTCGTATAATGTATGCTATACGAAGTTATGCCATTTAACCATTTTTAAGTGCACAGTTCCGTGGTATTCACCACTATCCATCTCCAGAACTTGTGCATCTTCCCAAACTGAAACTCTGTACCCATTAAATGCTAACTCCCCATTGCCCTCTGCCCGGCCCCTGGTAGCCATCACTCTACTTTCTGTCCCTATGAATTTGCCTGGTCTAGGTATGTCATATGAGTGAGTCACGCAGTCATTGTCCTGTGTCTGGCTAATGTCACATAGCATTGTCCTAAGGGTCTCATTTTCCTTTGGATGCCACAGTCCTCTGCAGCAGGTGAGCCTCAGTTTGCCCAGTGCTCTTCCAGCCAGCAGCAAGCAGCCCCTAACACCGGCTGCTATACCAGCCATTGCTGTCTTTCCCCCAACGGGAGAGAAAGCTAAAAACTAACATGAGCCGGCCAGCGAGGCTGCCGTGACCTCCCTCTGCTGCTGACTGTGCAGACAAGCCAGTTCACACGGAGGCTTCACATCCACCTCTTTCCCCCAACGGGAGAGAAAGCTAAAAACTAACATGAGCCGGCCAGCGAGGCTGCTGTGACCTCCCTCTGCTGCTGACTGTGCAGACAAGCCAGTTCACACGGAGGCTTCACATCCACATCCAGTCACTAGGATTTATTCCAAGTCTGCATTTTAACAGCCCTCACAAGAGCCGGGGTCAACAGGAGCAGTGTGTTCAGAAGATTGGCTTTTTAAAATCTCATTATACACTGATATTGAATGACAAAATGTCCACATCAGTTTTTAAAATGAATTGTGAGATTTTACCAGGATATTTTAAACCCGTGATGCTCATCCATGTGACACCAAACACTTTAGTAAAAAATGGAGAGAAACAATTAGTTATCCATTTTTTTTTAATATACATGGGGCTTTTGATATCAAATTGCAAATGACCTCTGTGCATGTTTCCATTTTAATTTCCAGCTGACTGTTTAGAATCATGTATGAGAAGCTGGACCACTCTGACATTTTTTTCTGAGTTTTTGACAGTGTCATTGTGTGATTGCCTGAATCATTTTGCAGTTTCTCTTGAGAAGCTTTCAAGATATTTCTTATAAATAAATTTCATAAATATCTGTGAGCCACACAGACCGACTTCTAATTTCAACCAAATGACAAATGCAATGATGTCCAGGCATAAAACAATATTGAATCGTGTGCTCACAATTGAATATGACTTGAAAAACATAACTATGTGTTTTTAATTGCCTGGGAAATGTAAGATGTAGAAAATAAAGCTAAAAACTTGCAGTGTTCATTAGCACTTTATTAGGGTATCTTATTCAGAAGGATGCTGTCATTTTCCCAATTAATAAAAGGATGTAGAAAATTAAAATTGGCTCAGAGAGGAGTTCCCCAAATAATTATGATGCTAGAAATTCATTCCGTGGAGAAATTTGGGGCAGTTTTACCTGAAAAGAAGGTAGACAAGGGATTAGTAACTCTCTTGAGTACTTACCTGATTTAATTAGGGAATGACATGAGTTTGTTAATTTAAAGTGACCAAGAAGATCAAAGAGGGAAAGTTCACACAAAATTATGGTGTGATTCCATATAGAATGAAGCATTTCTTGACTTTCGGGGTAGGTAATAAATATTAGGAAAAAATAGCAAAAGAGGGTTAAGGAACTACTGTTGAGTATAGTGCTTGAGGTTTTCTATTATTTTTCAAGTTCACGTTTATTATATATCCTCCGTGCAAGACAGTTTTCACAAGGTATATTTCTACTCATTGTACAGCAAGAATTTAACTCCTTGTCTTACTTATTTAGTTTCTTGTCTATATGGGGATATATAATCAAGAAGTTTTTGTTAATTATTTTAAGACCCTGAATACCTAAGACTAGTAACCCACCAAGCTAACCAGTCTCTTTTCATTTGTCATTTCCTGATTCTTTAATATTTAAATCAATTGAATTTGGAGTCTGTCAAATCTAAATTTGTAACATTTTGGAGCCCAATGTTCGTCAAGCAATTATTCTATTTGGTTGGGGGGGGGGGTTGTTTTCTACGATATAATTTTTTCCAAAGAATTAGCACATTTGTAGTTCAACCAGGGCTTGTGACATTTTTGATAAGTTCTTTAGCAGTAAATAAAGAAATCTACTACATTTCTTTGATTTTAAGATTAGCTTTTTGCTGAATTTTATCAGATGATATAATGGGTAGAAACACTGTCTAGTATCCTCCTTGGAATACAAGAGGAAGGTTTCCAAGAATATACTAAATAAATGCCTTCTTATCTCCCCAAGTAAATTAGTTTAGGTATTTGACAAGAACTGTAACATCCAAGGACATAAATCAATGGGTACAAACAAAGGCAACCACAGAAACTATACTGGAGAGTTTTACTTTTTAAACCTTGAATATGTGTGGTTGACCCGATGCAGAAAACACAACCTAGATTTATAGTAAGATGTATTTCTTTCAGTGAAAGGAGCCTGGCCCAAGTCATGAGGTTCTGGTTTATCTTTCCAGAACATTCCTCTGACCCTTAACCAAGTTACAGAAAAGTGACTGGTTCTTGGGCACTTAAATAGTCTGTGCTGCAGCTTCTCTAATAGAAAGAAAGATAAGAAATTTCCCCTAACTTGCTAACAGGTTAATACTTTCCTTCTGGGAGCTGATATTGGTGACCATAACATAAAAGCTAATTATCTTTATCTTCTTGGGATTTTTGTTTTTAACCTCTCATGACCTGAGCTGCCAAGCACTCATGCGTAGTAGGTACAAATGCTGATGCCGGCAATTACATTCTTCCCATAAATTAGTTTTCTCTCTTAAAATTAAAAACTCATAAAACTCTAATGCCTCATTTAATGTTTGAACCAAGATGACGAAGATATTGAAGGAAAAAAAAAAACAAAAAACTTTCCAAGGCTCTGATTTCACAGTGAACAGTTGAAAGTACGCATGGTGGTATCAGCTTCAAGTGTAATTCTAACCAAGCCCTCTGCCCTGATCTGTGCATTTTTAAACTTAATATTCAAAAGAAGTGCTTCCATTTTCTATATCATCAGTCTCAAGGTTCTAGAATTCTCTGTTAAATGTGTAGCACAACAACAGGTAGTTATTTACTTATTCGTAGAAATTCCCAAAGCTTCAAAAAGACGATGAAACTGTCATTAGCATTTGACACTAGATTGTCTATGTTGACAAGCCTGCTTACTATGCATAAGGAACACTGTAATTAATAAGCTTAACAGCCACCTGCTAACTTGTTAATCTACTCTGCACTAATTCATTGAAAAAAACTTTCTCGTTGCAGTTTTTCCTGAGTGACTCAGAGGAAACAATCCCTCCAACAGCCAATACATCAAACACAAGTTTTTCTGCCTCATATAATCAAGCAGCGATTCTACATGCGCAAAATTTGTTTTTCCTCCCGGTAAGAACATCACACTCTGTTGCTTTTGCTGTTTTCCTGTGCGCTGTCGGCCTGTGTAACTCAGGCCTTCAGTTTCAGATCTGTTCTAGACTTCACTTCTGTCCTCTGCTATTAGTCCCTGGGTAGGTCCTTAGTTCACAAATGCAGGCTTCGCTAGGAGGAGTCCCAGCCCACTGGTTTCAGATCTGTTCTAGACTTCACTTCTGTCCTCTGCTATCAGTCCCTGGGTAGGTCCTTAGTTCACAAATGCAGGCTTCGCTAGGAGGAGTCCCAGCCCACTGGGACTGGTTAAATCCACATCTGCAAATTTACAATGGCATTTTGATGCTTTCACCGATAATGCTTGCCTTTATCCTCTCAACTGCCACAGCGTTTCCAGATGCGTCCTCCCATATGGCATTCAATGATATGTTCTGAATTGCTGGGTCTCTTGCTGATAGATTTTGCTAGTTGTTCCAGTGAATTAATATTATCCTCCTAAAACTGTGATATTGGGGTCCACATCTCGTATTTCTGCCTCTCTTTTAACAACAAATGCTGTCCAGTGATTTCAATATCAAATGATTCTTGCTAACTGACTCATTTTAACCAATGTCACAAAAGGCCTAGGCTGAAATATTAGCACATCGGTCTTCTAAGTGAAAGAATTAAAGAGTTAAATCAGTTATTGCTTAACTTCTTTCTCCCATTGATTGTTTGTGGGGGGCAAAAAATGCCTTGATACTCTCCTTTTTATTTTCTGAATAATCAACTAAAAGTAGCAGAGATTACTCCCATTTAGTTTACATCTCAAATAGTCATTTTGGGAAATGCTAAGTAAACTGTTTGGGAGACTGAAATTGGTAATTTAATATGTTTATTTTCAAAATTCCCTATCAACATTTTTAACCTCATTAGCTGTGGCTGTAAGTTTAGCTTTCTTTTCCATATTCTTCTTTTGCTGCCTTGTGTTGTTTCATTTTCCCTTTGCATCATTGCAATTTCCTGGGAAGCTCACAGGTCTGTATATAGGCACAAGTGGCTTCTGGTATTCTTTCTAGAATGTTTCTGAGGCCATGACTGTTTTGTGAGCAAGATGACCAAGGTCCAATAGCAATGAACCCATGGCCTGGGGAGGAGAGGGCAGCACAGGCTTCATTGCTCATCCCAGAGGCCCTGGATTAGCCCTCTTCTTTAGAGAAAGATTTAAGTGAATGGTGCAGTCTGCCTCTTCCTCCTGGAACCAGTGGCATTAGCATCCACACAATCCCTAGGCTAGTGGAGAGGCCGTGCACCTGCCGGGAAGCCCCCCTCAAGCACTCACATGGCACTTTACCTTGAAAAGTTTAAAGATGCATTTTCATAGGAAAGAAAAGTGTAGCTGGCAAAAAAAATTTTTTTAATCTCTTCATCCAATACATTTGGGTAGAACAACTCATCATGCTTGACATCACAAAAAGAATAAGGTAATCATTATGAATTTCACTTAGGTAAATCTGCATAATATCCTATGTGCAATTGAAGCAAATAATTAGAAACCCAGAATGGGGAAAGGCAACATTTACTCAACCTTAACAGACTCTAAGAAAACACACAAGAGTCTTTAAAATTTAGGTAGGATTTAATTAACAGGCTACTAGCATTCCAATACTAAGTTCTGACAAGGCAGATCATGGCCAGGTTTGCCCAGGAACCCGCACGTCTGCACCTACTGTCTGTACAGAAACTGCATGATTAACTCATGATTAACTCACTAGTTTAGGAGTCCCAAAGGAGCCTGGAAACATCTTGACTTCCTCCTTAACAGATCCAAAGCAACATTAGGAAAGCTATTTTGTGGGTGAGCAGTGAATTAGCATTATTTCTTTCAAACTCCACGTTACCCACACATCCATTGATACACAGGCACACCCAGAAGCAGTTCCTTATTCTGCCTTCTCATTCTGTTAGGCTGAACTGGTTGGTAAATTTTATTATAACCGTGGTTTTCAAGAATAATTTTAGCAGCAGAACCCTTTTAAAAAGCTTTTAAAAATCGGAACTTATAAAGAGTTCCAGTATGTAATAATAATAGCAGGATTTATGTAGCTTCCCACGGGCCAGGCGCTGTTCTGAGCTCTTGCTTTACCTTACTTTATCTTCACATGAACTCTCTGAGGTGGGTACTATCATCACCCCTACTGCGAGTAACAGGGGTGGAAGATACAGGATGGCAGTAATTACGTTAAAGTGAGCTGCTTTGACTAATTGGATGGGGTAGGAGCACTGAATGGAACCTTGTTGCTGCCGGTTCCCAAGGTGGTTTCATGGGTTTTAAGAAGCAATTTTACAATCCTCGCCTCTACTGATGAAAGGACGGCCAGGCTGTAAAGCAGTGCTTCTCAGGCTCTTTGTGAGAAACTTTATTTTCACTGTGTTTTCACTTTTTTAATTTCCAATCTGTCATGGACTAATGATTTTGAAAAATATAACAGTGAATTATCAGAAAAAATGAACTAAAAAAAAACTCTACTGATGAAAGGACCGCCAGGTTGTAAAGCAGTGCTTCTCAGGCTCTTTGTGGGAAACCCTATTTTCACTGTGTTTTCACTTTTTTAATTTCCAATCTGACATGGACTAATGATTTTGAAAAATATAACAGTGAATTATCAGAAAAAATGAACTAAAAAAAAGACAAATGGAAAGCAAGCCTATGTTTTATTAGATTCAACAGAAGCAAGCATACTCTGTCGCATTGCTATCAACAGTATCTGCAGATGCCCCAGGCAGTTTGCAGAGCTCACTGGTCTACTTGGAGTGGCCTGTTCTGAGCCAAGTAGAGCTTTAATGTACGCTTTATCGCTGAGTCCTCAAACCTGCCCTAAGGTAGATACTTAATAGCCTACCTAAGGTGACAATGGAAGAACTCACATATAAATAAGGTCTGGATTAAAGGGCCTGAGACACCTCCCTTACCTTCCTGCTTTAGGAGAGATGAAGTCAGATGCTACCTGTCCATATGTACAGAGTTCTCTTGATTCTGTCATTTTACTATGCCAGCCCCAACAATCCCATCGTGACCGATTGTCTCCTCTTTTCCTATTCTCTGCTGTGTGTGGGAATGACGGTCAGAATAGTGGAGAACTGACATCAGGAAATTTCAGCTGAAGAAACTATTCTTATAATACTCAGTATCCCTTAAAATGCTGCCACCTGTAATGTCGAGCACACCTCATTGTTCCTTGCAAGGGAATACTTTAAATTCCTAAAGAGTGACCTAAATTGTTGTGTAATCCAGCAACACTTGCTGGTCTTACTTTTGAAGCTAAAATGCTAAAATTCCTGCGCAGGCGGGCGCCTCCACTCACTTGCACGTGCCTCCTACAAAGAGGAAGCCTGTTGGATGATTGCCGCAGCTCATTTCTTCAACTCTTTTTCTTCCCCAAGAACAGAACTGATGGCCTACTGTCGGCAGCCTCCCATACAGCTTCATGCAGATCTTAGCTAAGGAAAGAGAAGGAAGCGCTAGAATGAAAAACATAAGCATCTCTAACATGCCTTATTCAATATGATGAAACTTAAATTTGGGCTATTTTTTAAAGACAGGGTTTATGAAACATCCATAAGATCTGTGTTTTATTAAAATTCTGACACTGTGGAGTGCCGTCTCTGTTCCGAGAATGCTAAGATAGTAACACAACCCCTTGTTCACAAAAACCCCATGATGTAGCAAATAAAGACTTGATGTGGACGGCAGCTGTTTCTGTTCTCTGCGTCCCTCCCGGCTTGCAGGGCTCTGGGCTCTGAGCTTTGCTCTGTTATCTCCGGTCTTTGCAATGCCCTTCGAGGATGCTATTATTACCTTCATTTTACAGATGAAGACCTATAATACAGGCAAGTCAGGTCACTGGCCAGAAGTAACGGAGCCAATGAGTGACTGAAGCAGGTCTGAATGCAGGGCTCTCGGAAGCCTGTCTCAGCTACATCCATAGTGAGGAGATGGTTTATAGGGATGGGCATGCCTGCAGCTTCCGGGGACCATGGTGGCACCTGCCACTTGCTTATTCCACCAGGGTCTTCCGGTTTCCTCTGCTGCCTGTTCAACTTCCAGGGTATTCATGAGTCACCCTGGTCAAAGCTTTTAGTTTAAATCCTTTCTGTTTTAGATAGACCCTCTGACACATAATTTCTCTTTTTGTAAAATGTCTAGGTTTTCTTACACTTTTAACCAAGTTATCTGTAATGATTTATGTCCTCTTAATGAATTAAAGAATTGCAAGGCCAAAAAAGACTCTACATACTATAATTTTTTAAAATTCCATAAATGTATAAGGGGTCATACTGTGTTCATTTTCAGAAAATGAATGACATTTGCATATAATGACATGTCTTTTATATAGATTGTTTTTAAAATTTTATATCTGAAAAGTCTCTGGCAATATCCATGTGTATTTTCATTCATCATGCCAGGCTGGATCAGAAAGCCATGGAATGAGTAATTATTTTCTGAATCAAGTGTACAAGGGTATTTCAAAGGTTTGTGGAAAAATAGAATTAAAAGATGATATGACTTTTCCGTGAACTTTTTAAAGACCTCTTTTATTTGAGCATTTACTGCTGGATCAAAGAGTGGAAACAGTCATCTGCTTTCACAGCCAAGAGTCGAATAAAAATATAGAGACAGACCTCTAAACAGGATGTTTTATTCGGGAAAACAGTATTGCAATTTGGGGCACACACGCAGACAGGATGGTCCTTGGTATGCAAAAAGAACAGGTTGAGAGAAATGCTATGTATTGGTCTGAAAGAAAGCTCATTGGCACTAGTGAAGTTTTAGGGAGTTGGCAGGCTTTGGTTGGTGATGGCAGTAGGTAAAACTATTCTTAGAGTCATGGCAGGTCATTTCAGCAGCTACTGTGTAAAACTAGTTGTAGAGTTACAGCAGCTGGGCAGAAAATTTGGGGAGCAGGTGCTGTGTGCCTGAGTGTTTTTCCACCCAGTCCCTTGAATACCCCAGTTTGTATAACCAACTTTCACAAAGTTGACCGAGTGATCTTGATGTGGCCCCCAATGTTAATTGTTCCAGCATGTCTCAGAAGAGGTCCTAAGCATTTGTCTTTCGTGTTTCCCTGCTCCAGTACTTTATATACAGCTGCATCCTGGGGCTGATATCCTGTTCAGTGTTCTTGCGGGTGAACTACGAGTTGAAAATGTTGATCATGATGGTGGCGTTGGTGGGTTACAACACCATCCTGCTCCACACCCACGCCCATGTCCTGGATGAGTACAGCCAGGTCTTGTTCGAGAGGTAAATTTTTTACTCCTTCTTTTTCTTTCAGGGGATGTTGGTAACTTGAGCATGTGTTGAGGATATGCAAATTGTAATGTCATTGTCATTGATAATCATTGTGAGAGAGTTTCTTTGAAGTGAAGGTTCAGAAAGATGATGTGTGTTTTTATTAGTGTTTTTATTATAGATTACAGAGAATATGTGTCATCAAGTACACTTAGAAGACATGAAGCAGGTTAGACAGAGGATTTGTGTTATTATCTGAACTATAATGATAAGAGTCATCCATTGTTCTCAGCCTCAGCACTGTTGACATTTTGGACTGAATAATTCTCTGTTGGGAGCGGCTGTTCTGTGTGCTGTAGGATGTTTAGTGACATCCCTGTCCTCTACTTACTGAATGCCAGTCATACTCCCCCAAGTCAGGACAACCAAAAATGTCCCCAGAAATTACCAAATATCTCCAGGAAGGCAAAATGACCCTTAATTCAGAACAAAAATACTGAAAAACTACGTGGTTATATTCACAACTTATAGTGCTAAATTTCTTATTAGAGATTTCCTAAAATACCATTGTGGAGAGGAGGAACTTCCATCTCAGGAAATTCTTTGTTCTATGAAGAACTTCCATGAAAAGATGAGATTGTGTTAATGATCTCAACCTTAGGACTAGAGGCAGCAAGAATGATCCTATCTGTAAAAGGTTTCCTGTTATTGAATTACTTCCACAAGCTTAAATGAATATTTTATTCCCTGCTTGAAAAAAAACTGTTTTAATCATTATGATATTCTCCATTTTGCATCTAAATTTACATCAAAGGCTAGGTTTATGAGTATTGCTGGACCCACCAGGCTTCAAAGTATTTTCTATGAGTGCGTTGCATTCTCCTCCACATTATTTCTGTATTTCTTTAAGCATAAAATAAATGCCTTAAGTATTTGCATAGATTCGTTGCTGTAGAAAGAGGGTTTGTGTTGACAGCACATGGCCACTTCTCCATTGGAGACTCAGTGTCAGGAACAGTAGTCACCTCTGTGTAAACATTTCTCACCCATGACAGCACTCTGAGAGACACAACTGTGGCACATTCTCTTCACCTAGTTTAATTTTCACCATGAAACCCTAATATTCTGTAATTAAACTTAAGGCAGAGGAGTTGCAGAAATGCATAATTTCATTAAGGGAATTTTATGATTCCTTAGCCCAGATAAAAATGAAATCAGAAGTTAATTTACCTATAAATTCTCAAAATCGCCAAGCAAATATGCTTTAATTTTTCTCCATTGTATCCAGAGAGCCTCTATCATATTCCTATATAAATGCAGCATTACTGGTTTTCACACACAGCAGATGATGCTACTAAATTTTCTTTTATGAAATTTAAAGCTCCTGAATGTGTTACATATCTGAGGCAAAAGAAGAAATCAGATTAGCAAGTTTCTGATAAAGAGAGACTTGCTTCTGGGGACCTGAGCGAGGCACATTGAGAGACACACAATCTCTGAGTTGTACCCAGCAGCAGCGGAGTGATCATTAGGTTGAAGAAAAGGAGTCTTTATTTTGAAAGCATTTTTGTAGGCTTGTGTTTATAATGGCTTTAAAGCTAGGGAGGGCTGCCACGAGAAGCCTCAGTGACTTGCCTTCACTTCCAGTGGTAAAGACAGCATCATCCCAGGGGAGTGCGCCTGTTTCCCACTTCCTAATCTTGATCCAAAGTTCTCTGGCACTTCCCGAACCAATCCCTGCAAGAGCTGGCATGCAACTCCCAGAAGCATTCCTCCACTGGAAGATGAGTATTGCTGACGTAATAGAATAATACCTCAAAATTAACAAGTCTTCTCTAGTGTCAGCTTAAAACTAACCCCAAATGCAAGACTGTGAATAGTGGGAGTTTAGATTTCACCCCCCCCTACAATTCCTCCAGCCTCAGTGCCTGTTTGGTACAATTCTGTGACTCATGCCAGATGCAAAACTGAACGATGTCAGTGTTCTCTTTCTCTTTTCTGAAACTCAAGAGCTGTTCCCCATCAAATGATTGATAAAGATTTCGTCATTTTTTGCCTGGTTGATTGATGCTGACAAAACTCTTTCAGATGTGAAAGTATGATTCTTAAAAAACCAGCAACAACAACACTGGTCTGGCATAGCACCTTGACAAGGAACATCACTAAATCCTACAGTCAGAGGCACCCTTCAAGGAGGGAGCTGGCTTCAAGGACGACAGGCAGCACCTCTCTTCTGATGGAGCCAGTCGGTCATGGGAGTCATGCACTGGGTCCCGTCCCTCTGCTGACCTGCTCCAGGCACCACGTCCCCACCCCTTTCTCAACCCTGGCTTCCTGGTTCTTGCTCTAGTCTTCTTTCTGGGACCTGTGCTTGGCTGTGGCAGGTCAGTGTCCTTTCTGCCCCCCGAGGCCTCTGGACTTGCCCCTCATTGGTATTGAGCCTCCTACCAGACCTACCTGGAGCTTCTGGCTTTCACCCCACAGTGACGTCGAGGACTGAGCAGCTCCTCCACCTGTCTCTCCCTGGAAAGCTGGAAGGTATCCGTCCTGGATGAATCAGACATGGCCTCTGTTGTCCGTTAGCTCCTTTTCTGTGATATGTATAATGAGGATTTAAATGAAGCAAAAAAGGAGATCTGAACCTATACCACTGCTGTATCAACAGTGCCTACAACTGTGCCTGGCATATAGCAGGTGCTCAAATCTGCTGAATGAAGGAATGAAAGCAGGACGTGCTCCTGAACAATCTGAAGAGCCTAAATGCTGTAATGAAATCTCTCTCCTCTCCTGCTTGCCTGAAGACATCTCCAGCTCACTGAGAACTTGTCTTTTCAGTATCCACATCACTTTCTGGTTATACTATTAAATTTAAAAAGAAAGTTTGGAGAGGGCATCTCTGTTTAAAGGCAGTGCCAGCCACCTTCTGAATCCACAATTTGGACTGTGTGGTTGTCCTGTAGGTGAGTTGACCATGACTCCTGTGGCAGGGGCCTTTTCTGATCCAAATTCAACATTGATGATGGACAAGCCAATAAGATGGTACAAACCAAGAGGGTTAGCAAAGAAAATAGGAGAGGTAACATTAGAAAAACTTCAGTCAATAGATAATTCAGAAAATGGCATCAAAGGTATTCTTACAGATTTATGAATGTGGAAAGCAGACTTTTAGGAGAGAAAAAGAAGATTCCTTCAAGAAAGTGTGCATTAAAAATCCATTAGAGTGGAGGCCAGCACGTAGCACTACCTGCCATTATGTGACCCTGGCAAGTCACCTGTTGAAGAAAGCTCAGAAGCTTCTGGTGTTTGGAAAGTCCAGAGCAAGGTATTTCCTAACTCTGTGGTTTTTACAGCAGTTCTCAGTGTTGTCTATGAGTACCACATGCTTTACTGAATTGATCAATAACAGTTTTAGTTCCTATCCATGACACTTTCTCCCTAAGCCCTCAGCCAGAGCTGTTGAGGAGACCAAGTGCTCTTCAGGGTGAGGTTAATAACAGTTGGTATTGCTGGAAGCTCTTCTTGTTTTGAAAATACTTCCTCTTCCCATGACGTAGGCTTGCTACAGAGTCTGCAAGACATTGTCAGATTTCTCCTATGACTTTCATTTCTTGCAGAACCGAAGAGTCTCAAAGGATGGCCATTATCATTTCATGAGGTCCCAGCCATTATGTTAACTCCCCTGAAGGCTAGAAATAAATGCACCTTTAATGCTAGAGAGGCTTGGAGGCCTATCTAGAGTGCAAGCACGTGAACAGAGGAGTAGCAGGGAGCCTCATAGACTGACCAGCTCCATGTGAGAGCTTTAGCCTAATAAAATACGAGAGGTCTTCAAAACATTCATGGAAAGATTCGTATTATCTTTTAATTTAATTTTTCCATGAACGTTTTGAAGTGCCCTCATAAATACTTTGTGGAGAGCTTTAGCCTAATAAAATACGAGAGGTCTTCAAAACATTCATGGAAAGATTCATATTATCTTTTAATTTAATTTTTCCATGAACGTTTTGAAGTGCCCTCATAAATACTTTGTGGACAGCACGTAAATAAGGAGTTAAGCAGCACTTATATCCAGTGCTTAGTATCATCCTGAAGCTCTAGATTAGAGCAGGTAGAAATGTCTGCATGCTCTTACCTCCCTGACCTTAGCAACAGCTCCCTATCAAGGACAGCAGTGGAGGTGCTCAAACTGGCATATATCATCGAGAGCTATGAATTAAGCACCTTCAGTGTGGAATTTTTCTGCTTTCCCTGTGTCTCATGGAAATCCCACTGGCTAGAACTTAAGATATTGTGATGTATTTTGAGAGTGAGAATTTTTCTGCTTTCCCTGTTTTTCCTGTGTCTCATGGAAATCCCACTGGCTAGAACTTAAGATATTGTGATGTATTTTGAGAGTGTCTGAACTTGGGATCAGTTGATGATGAACTAATGGAAAGGCTTGAGGAATAACTGCAGGATTCATCACCCCAGGGGATGGCAGGGACACCTGTACTAGGCCGGCCCTGGGCTGCATGGTCCCTGGGGATTCCCAAGTACCTGCAAGTTCTTTAAGGTTTCTTTTTGAATTAAAAATGTCTTCCAAATTTGCACTCTAATGCACAATATATTCAAGTTATTATTAAAAAGATTTAAAATTACTTTCAAATTTAACATCTAGACTTTCCTAACCCCGCCTATTTTTCCCACCCTATGCCATCTTCAGAAAGTAAGGAATGCAGCACATTTCTTTGGTCTAAGACCCGCTGGAAGGGCAGCAGGATGGGAGGTGACCCCAGCTGCCTAACTTTAACAAAAAAGCAAGACATCCTAGGGTCACTCCAAACCAACCAAGCCTTCTTTCTTCTAGAAAGCAACCATTAGTGATCTGCTTCTTTAAGTAACCCAAAACAGAAAATGTCCTGTGTTTTGGACTCCATCTGCAGGATTATACTGTACAGAACACATACCTCTGATCACCAGATCTTCAGTGCCTGATGCTAGCACTGTGCTCAGTCCCACACTATCAGATTGCC